ATTTTAATTTTTTTAATGTTTGATTCCATTCACAAGCCACCTCCAATCAAGTTTCATACTGTAGGTGGAAGGTCATTATCTATTTCAAGTGAAGAACTGAAGTGCGCAAGGAGTCTTCTTGGTGAACCGTAGCTAGGGGATTTATTTGGTGAAATAGATAAAGAGCCTCTCCATATACAATTTATACGAAGGAAAAACTTAACGATGCTTCATCAAACAAGGAAAACTGTTTTTTTTTACTTCCTTTCCCCACGAAGGAGTAATGAAGACTAAATTCTAGTGAACAATTTTTTTTTTAATTGAAAGTGAAAGAACCTAGACTAAATTCTAGAGAACAATGGCAAACTACATTACATTTAATTTTAATGTTTATAAATTTTAATTTATTTTGTTGTTAAGTATTTTTCTGCATAACTTGTGTCCTAATTAAAATGTATGGTTGTTGTTAATTAGATAAAGCTACGTAATATTAAATTTAGGTGATGTAAAGCAGAAGAGAAATATGCAAAGTCAATTAATCTTAGCAAAAGATCTCGACCTTTTGTGGCGTTTATTCCAAAATGCCGCTATAGATCTCGACCTTTTGCGGCGTTTGTTCCAAAAATAGCGCTATAGATCTCGACATTTTGCGGCGTTTTTTGTTCTCAAACGCCGCTAACTTTAGCGGCGTTGGTATGGTTGGCGCTTCTTGCTGTGTTTTTCCTATCGCCACAAATGCTTTTAACGGTGCTTAAAAACGCCGTTATAAGGCTAAAAACGTCGATAAAACTCTATTTTGATGTAGTGTCATAACTAGGAAAAAAAGAAGTAATGTTTCCAATTTCTTTATCTAGTCCATTTGAGAATATTTTGGTGGGTTATTTGAAGCATCTCATCATTATTATTGTTATGTTATTACTAAAAATGAAAATGTAAAAAGAGAAAAATTCTTTTAAAAAAACAAGTAAAGAAAGAAAACGAAAAAAAATTAATTGAAATGAGAAAGAAATTTGAAGAATATTACGGATGCAAATCAAAGAGGATGTGGATGGTCGAGTTTGCTAAATTCACGAGATATCAATATTTTAGTATAATTTCTCTCCTTTATTATTTTTTATTTAATTTATGCAATCAATTTTTATAGTAATTTGTTTTGGAAAAATATTTTTAGAAAATAATTTTTTTTTTGAAAATTGCTACGGACAGAATTGAGAAAATTTGACGAAATTATTAAAAAAAACCTTGAGCATTAAAATAAGATAATAATTTTGTATTAGAAAAATTAACGAGATAAATTCCAAAATCGTTAGAAGATGATCTCATTAATTATTCATGATAAGTGAAGATCCTTTTTAATCTCGATTAAACTACAAACTATAATCTTTAAAAATATAAAATTATATTATTAGTAAATTTTCCTTTTTAAAAAAAATCACTGAATTAAAAAATATATATTTTTAAGGGATCATACTTGAATCTAAAGTTATAACATTCGAAATTCAAAATTTTACTTGTTTAATAAAAATATTAATGAACCATTAAGTGACATTAATAGTTAAGAGGGTGTTGTTCTCGCGGTCCTAGATTTGAGTAGTAGTGTCTGCAGAGTATGTGCTCTTTATTAATGATTAAGAAAAATTTTAAACAAATATTACCTTATAATCATCTCATAATATTAAAAAATAAAATATTAATTATACGACACTGCGATAGTATTAACCATTCCTCCCATGTAACAATACGTCCAAACTTATCTTTTGCTTTCACAATAAAAAATTATTTGATAATAAAAATTTTATTAAAACAAATAATAAAAATTTTATTAAAACAAAAAATATATAAATGATTTAATTTCACCTAAAAATAATGATAATTTCTTTACTATATTCTTAAAAATTCATTGTATTGGCACGAATCAACTTACCTCAGTGGTTAAAGGAATAACTATTGTTGCTAGAGGTCACAGGTTCGAGCATCAGCTGTTACAACATGGTGATTGAACGTTCATTATCAAATGATTGAGAATATTTAGAACAAATATAACGTTGTAATCACCTTAATATAAACAAATTCATTGTACTATATCAAAACTATTCGGACAAATTTCCTTTTAGATTTCTTGTTGGGAATGATTTAGAAGTTCTTTTATATTAAATATGTTAGTTGGCTTTTAAATGATTAATGATTTCTTCTAATGACCTTTCTAAGCCTTGTAAACTCGTAAAGTCTTTGAAGCTCTGCCTTCTTTTACCACAATTTTGATTTTATATTTGATTTTGGAAACTTAATTTTCCCACGTAAAGAACAATATTATAACTCTTAAAATAATTTGCTAATTTTTATTTTAACACATTCTCCATTCTGCATTTAATTAAGTAATTACTATTTGTAACAAAAAAAATTGCATTATTAATACTTATTGATATTGCTCATTTTAGATTTAAAATGCACAACTGTTTAGACCTTATAGTGGATAACACTAGTAAGAAATGCCAAATCTTTGATATTTTTTACCAGAACAATATCATATTTGATATTTATATTTTTAATAAAATATTTTATTTCATGTATATTTAATAAAGTATTTAATGTGATATTTAAACAATTATTTTGTTCATTATTCTAGTATTTTATATTTTTTGATTAATCTAGGTTAAGTACATAGTAGTATGTGTTCAAATATAACTCTCAACCTTTTGACATTGAATGATCACATTCTTGACATCTATGGTGCTCGAACTCGGGTCCTCAATAATAAGATTAAAAAAGTGAAACGCCACCAAAACAATCATCGGTGACGAAGGTCATCGAGGTGTTTCCATTGAAAAAGCCACTAGCATTATTAAAAAAATGAAAATATCTAAAATTATAATAAGAGTTTATAACTATCACCATAAACTAAATACATGATTTGGGCTTCTCTAATAATAAGATTAAAAAAGTGAAACGCCACCAAAACAATCATCGGTGACGAAGGTCATCGAGGTGTTTCCATTGAAAAAGCCACTAGCATTATTAAAAAAATGAAAATATCTAAAATTATAATAAGAGTTTATAACTATCACCATAAACTAAATACATGATTTGGGCTTCTCTAATAACATTAAAACTAATCATTTTAGATCATATAAGGACTATACATGGAAAATGTTAAAAACCCAACCAATAGACTTGGACAAAAATAGATACGAATAAATATGATTGCATTGGTAAACGAACCACATAAATGAATTAAGCTATTGAAAGACCACCGAGAACTACAGTTCAGAGACGAGTGTCATGAGAAACTATCCAAAACACAAAATCACGCATCCAAATTCAATCCAAAGGTCCATAGCATGAAAGATCAACAAGATTTCAAATAAGTGCATCTTGATTAGTTGTGGCGTCGTCAAATCCAACCCTGAGAAAACATAAATAAAAGAACGGACAAATGACCGAGAAAAAAAATGAAAAATATGCCACAAAGGCATAGATAATAGCCTCAAAGGCATAGATAATAGCCACAAAGGCAGATATAAATATGCAACACAGACATAGATAAACATTCAATACAAGTAGAATTATTCTTATTAAAAATCAAAAGAAAAAATAAAGAGAAAAGAGAATTGGGGGTCTAAAACCGGTGCAGCCGCCGGCTAAAGAAAAGTAAACAAGAAAAAATTGATATGATCTATAAAAAAACAATCCAAACTCAAAGGAAAAAACATTTAAAGAAAGGGAAAACATTCACCACATCTTTTTAACTAATCTTAATTAATTAAATAAAAATATAAATCTATGTATCGTCCATTAAAATTAATGAAAAAACATATGTTAATATTTTTCATAAAATTTCGACAATAACTAACTGATATTTAAATTCCAATCTTCAGTTTACATTAAAGTTATCTTTAGAAGTTTGATTCCTTACTCAACTTCCATTAATAATCGCTCATAAATGAGTTTATTTATTAATTCCATCAATTTTCTACCCATCTAAACATTAATATTTAATTCTAACATAAACAAAGCGATTTACACAAATTTATTACTATTGTTTTGAGATTTTAGATATGAGCACAGATGTACGAATGTTTATTATCAAATAATAAAAAAATTTCAAATAAACATTATCTTATATTTATCTCAAATTTATAAAAAAATACTCTAATAAAATTCTAATCTATTAACGTTGTATTCTTCTGCGCTACCCTCTTACAAGTTAAATGCCTACTATTTGTTGTATTTTATGGTTTTCAATATTAAATATGATTGATTATTTACCTTCACTTCTATCTCAAAATGGTTGCTTTAAATTGATTTTTTTCATTTAGTCTGTCTTAGATTAAATTATTTAATTCCAAAGTGTTATTTTTTATTAATATTAATATAAGTAAATTTATTTATACGACTAAAAAAAGAATTGTAAGTTATATTAATTTTCTCTTTTTTCATGGTTCTAAATTTAAATTAAAAGTCATAAAACTTACACTAATTTACTTTCATAAGTCCAGACTATTTTTGATAATTTATCTGTGAAATACAGTATTAAATAATTAAAAATAATAATAAAATAATAAGAATTTACTTGACTAATATTAAGTTTCAGTCCTAAATTAAGTGATTTAAACATGAGATTAATCAGCCTAATGAGAGCATTAAATCCCAATTAAACTTTGGCCATCCTTTTGGATTATACAAAGCTTACGCCACAGTAGATCAACACCCAACCTAATTCCCCTACAACTGAAAAAAACCCCAAAAAAATCAAATGCCACGTGTCTTTCAGAGATCAATCAAAACCGTACACGTGCAACCTTTCCTCTTAAGGAAAACAATGACGTACAGATTTGATATTAGATGATTTAGGTAAACCCAGCACTTACCTCCCCATACAAACTGTATGAATCCTGAAGAGAGAAAAAATTATTATTTAAAACCAAAAAAATGAAAAATGAATACTTTCCATCCTTCACAAATTACTATATATACAACTCCCATGAAACCATGATATGTTGAAAATCAAAACAGCCTCTTCTTCTTCTTCCCTTTAAAAACCGCTTATCTTTTTCTACCATTTTCCGGCGAAAGGGGTTAAGCTAAAACCCATCATGTCTCGTATTCTCACTGAAAATATATCGCCGGATAATAATAATAATTCTTCCCAATTTTTTCAACACTCTTTGGAGCTTATCGCCGGCGAATTCTCAACGTCCACCGGAGCTTCCCGGACTATTGGGCAATTGCTTCAACACGTTGGCGATGTACGGAAAGAAGTCACCGGCGACGAAACTCCGGTCCATGAAGCCCTTGTCGACGTGACTGATCCCAGACCGATACCGTTCGTTCTTTCCTTTAACAACCTCACTTATAGCGTAAAGGTTCCTCCCAAAATGGCGTTGCCTGGTTTCTTGCGACGGAGGGGTGGTGGTAGCGCTGCCGCAGCCGCCGCTGTCGTTGGAGATTCACTTGCCGGAGATGGGTATTTTACGAGGACCAAGACGTTGCTTAATGATATCTCCGGTGAGGCTCGAGATGGTGAGATAATGGCGGTGCTCGGAGCTAGCGGTTCGGGCAAATCGACGCTGATCGATGCTTTGGCCAATAGAATAGCTAAAGGGAGTTTGAAAGGAAGCGTCACCTTAAACGGTGAAGCTTTGGAATCACGAATGTTGAAAGTGATTTCGGCTTACGTTATGCAAGATGATTTACTTTACCCGATGCTAACCGTCGAGGAAACCTTAATGTTCGCCGCCGAGTTCCGACTTCCTCGGACTCTGTCGACATCGAAGAAGAAAATGCGAGTTCAAGCTTTGATCGATCAATTAGGCTTAAGAAACGCTGCCAAAACTGTTATCGGAGACGAAGGTCATCGCGGTGTTTCCGGCGGAGAGCGTCGTCGTGTATCGATCGGCATTGATATTATTCATGACCCATTATCCTTTTCTTGGACGAGCCGACGTCGGGGCTTGATTCGACCAGTGCTTTCATGGTGGTCAGGGTTTTACAAAGGATAGCTGAGAGTGGAAGCATCGTCATAATGTCAGTTCATCAGCCAAGTTATCGAATTCTCGGATTGCTTGACCGATTGATATTTTTGTCTCGTGGACAAACTGTTTACAGCGGTTCACCGATGAATCTGCCCTTGTATTTCTCCGAATTTGGATATCCGATACCCGAAAACGAGAACAAAACCGAATTCGCTCTCGACTTAATTCGTGAACTTGAAGGATCTCCTGGTGGAACAAAAAGTTTGGTCGAATTCAATAAGTCATGGCAAAGCATGAAGCATATAAGAGATCCCGAGCCTGACCAGCTCGGTCTGTCGCTAAAAGAAGCAATCAGCGCGAGTATCTCTCGAGGTAAACTCGTTCCGGGTGCTACAAAAGACGTCAATTCAACTTCAATGGTCCCAAGGTTCGCAAACCCATTTTGGAAAGAAATGGTGGTATTGTCAAACAGATCAATCCTAAACTCAAAACGGATGCCGGAGTTGTTCGGTATTCGATTGGGAGCGGTTTTAGCGACCGGATTCATTTTGGCCACGGTGTTTTGGCAGCTCGATAACTCGCCAAAAGGTGTACAAGAAAGACTAGGATTTTTCGCATTCGCCATGTCGACGACCTTCTACACATGTGCCGACGCCCTCCCTGTTTTCCTCCAAGAAAGATACATTTTCATGAGGGAAACCGCCTACAACGCATACAGAAGATTATCCTACGTTATATCGAATGCTCTAGTGACATTACCGGGCTTGATATTTCTCTCGCTCGCCTTTTCCGTGACAACGTTTTGGGCTGTCGGACTCGATGGCGGATTTTCCGGATTCGTATTCTATTTCCTAATCATGTTCGCCTCATTCTGGTCCGGAAGTTCGTTCGTGACATTCCTCTCGGGTGTCGTCCCTCATGTGATGTTAGGCTACACCATCGTGGTCGCCATTTTAGCTTATTTCTTACTCTTCAGCGGCTTCTTCATCAACCGCGACCGGATCCCGGATTACTGGATATGGTTCCATTACTTGTCCCTGGTGAAGTATCCGTACGAAGCAGTTTTAAGGAATGAATTTGAGAACCCTACGAAGTGCTTTGTCAGAGGGACTCAAATATTTGACAATTCACCATTGGGAGCAGTCCCTCCAGCCATGAAAGTAAGATTGTTGCAGTCAATAAGCAGGACGTTGGGACTGAGAATTACAAGCTTAACATGTTTGACGACTGGTTTGGATATTCTCAAACAAGAAGGGATCACGGATTTAAGCAAATGGAATTGCTTGCTCATCACTGTGGCTTGGGGCTTCTTGTTCCGGATTTTATTTTATTTTTCTTTGTTGTTAGGAAGCAAAAATAAGAGAACATAAAAGTAAAACAAAATCATGGTTCTTCTTTGGAGTTGGCTTTCGGTATATTTCAAGTCTGTAACTGAAATATTGTTGTAATTTGTGTGAAACATTATTGTTTTGTTTATTGAGGTTTAATAATTCCCTTTAACTGTTGAAGTTTAGTTGATCAGATTCTAGTGCTAGACTCCAGATTAGCCACAGCAAAATGTCTTTATTATCTAGAAAATAGTTACAACTTGGATAATTTTTAGGTTAAACTACACATTTAGTATTCTGACTATCACCTTTTGTTTTTGTCACCCGATTAGTTTTTGTTTCAAAATCATACACAATATTACGTTTTAGTTTTATTTTTGTTACTCACCATTAAAAAAATTAACAGTGATAATGATGTGTCTTCATATTATAATGTTACGTCATTATTGAATTTGTTAGAAAAATTCCACGTCAATAGTTCTATTAACTTCTTAACAACGGGGTGACCAAAATATAACATTATGTATTATTTTTTTAAAATTAATAGTTGAGTTGCCAAAATAAAATAAAATTGATAGTTGAGCTATTAAATGTATACTTTACTGTAATTTTTATTCATTAATGGCACGGTTGAGTTTTGACTTTTTTTTATTAATCCATGGTTAGTACAAAGTAATATTTGTTTAAAGATAACTATCAACCATTTGATATCGAACGCTCACACCCCTAGCATACAAATTTACTAGTTAAATGATATTATTATTTTTTATTTAGAGTTTGAACTCCACTTTTTTGTATTATTAACAAAATAAGAAAAGCAATCGTTGGTTTCACTTTGATGGATGAATGAAATTGTAGACCAATTCGATTGTAAATGAGTTGACATGTGTACCTGCTCTAAAAAAAAATCAAAATCCGACCCAACAGTTTTGAAAATTCTATTCATTTTTTTTTTGAAAACTTCTAATGAAAATTTATTTTAATTGTTTTTTATATTATTTATTCCAATTAAATCTTTATTATTATTTTAAATCTAAAAATTCTAAGTTAATTTAATGTAGATTTTTTAAAATTAAACATTTTATATATTTTTTAAGTTTTGACTTGTATTGTAATTTCATAAGAGAAGATAACATAGTTTAGAGTTAAAATAAGAATTAATTTACATTTAAATTTCATACTTGTTTAAAATATTTATGTAAAAATTCATAAAAATATTTTGAGAGAGATTAGTTTACTTGAATTTAGAATTGAGAGCGAACTAAAGATTGATTAAAATAAAATACTGAAGTCAACTAAATAACTAAAACATTTTGGACCAAAGTGTATAATTTTCAAATGTACAAAGATTAAAAAATTTCTTTTATAATAGCAGTACTAAAATGAACTCTTAAATACAATATAGAGATTAAAACATTCATTTTACTATATAAAGACTAAAATATTTTTTTTAAATATATATGGGGAAATGAATGATAGATGGGTTTGCAAAGTTCATTTATGTAATGTAACCATATTTGACTTTTTCCATCCAATCTTTTGAAATTCATTTTCTCAAACTAATTTTCAGGCTTAGATAAAGGACACCATTTCATTCTGAATTATTTATTGATGTAAGTTTGGTAGCCTAATTTTTTCTTTTCTTTTCATAAAAGGAAATAAACTACTTTACCAGGGTGTTCCTACTATTTTTTTATAGTCTATGATCTTTGGGGACTACTCTCCCATGTCTGTTTAATAAATTTGATTTTAATATACATTTAGTATATAAATTTAATTTTTTTTTAATTCAATGGGACAAAATATAAATTAAAGTTAAATTTAGATATAAAAGTATTAAATAAAAATCAAGTTTAGTGTTAATTTAGACAAAATTATCAGTTTTTAAAAAATAACAATATAATTTTTGTAAAAAAATCATATATTAATTTGAAATATAATAAAAATATCAAATTAAAAATTAAAATCAAGTTTAAGTATAAAAATAATATATTTAATTCATCCTAATTTGTTTTGTAATGAGAGTAAAAGTGCCTTGATCCATACTAAGGAAAGATAGAATTGTCAACAGGTGTTAAAGGAGATGATGTGAGCAGTTTTTTTTAAATGTGCGTCTTGCATGTATTTATAGCGCAAAACATACAAAGACAATGATAGTGATCGGGATCTCGTTAAAAAACTCTATAAACCTAATTGGAAAAAAAGTGTCCCAAACTACTGCCCAACGAAACCAAACAGGATCGACCAATAACGACCATTACACTCTGTAGACACCCATTTTTTATTGGAATTTAATATATATATATATATATATATATATATAATATTTATTATTAATAAAATTTTATTCATATTTGCAGGCCAAATAAAAAATTCAAAGGCCCAGTTCAAATTACAAGTACACCTAACTGTTTAATGAACCCAGGCCCGACCCGTGATCAACTCTGGTCCAGATTACTCAATAATTTTAGGGTTTCTGGAAACCCTAAGGATATCCGCCGCCACTCATCCCATTCCGCTGTACACGCCGCCGCAACAGTGCCAGACTTCTCCAACCATCGTAACAGTAAACATCGAGTAATCTACAAGCATCCAAAGTCATCATCGTCACTGCTTGTGTCATGCAGCAACCGTAATCAAGAAAAAATTATCAATCCACCACAAAATCCACTGAACATATTTTTAATCAAATAAAAATCTCAAAAATTTGGTATTATGTTTTACCCACCATTCGACCTCAGTTGGAAATCCACTATACAACAACTATAAGAGGGAGCAATTACAGACACAGAGGGAAAGAAAAAAATACTAAAAAAAGCGATTCGAGGAGAAAGGGATTCGAATAGAAAACCGGAAAAAAACAAGAAGCAAAAGAAGAGGCTTACCAAGCATCACGAGCATCATTGGAACACCAAAGGTCACCATACTTCAACAAATATTTGAGAGGTAAATCTTTAGATCTACGGTTTTAGGGTCATTTTTAGTATAAGAGGGGTTCGGTTTTGGGTCGAGGGTAAAAAGTGAGAAATTTTGGGACCATTCCGTCCCTATACCGCCGTGCCGACAACCGTGGAATCCACCGGCGGCGGCGACTAAGGAACTCTCTGGAAGAGAGAGTTCAGAGCATTTTATTTGCTCTCTCTCTCTTCTCACGGCTAAAAGGGAAAAAATGAGAAAAATGAGCATTTTCATTCTTTAAAATAGATATATATATAAGAAGAAAACGACGTCGTTTTATCAAGGGTAAATCTGTAATTACGTGGATGGGGTAATGGCTTATAGGTACCTGTTAGTTTGTAACATACTGTTTTAAACATTAATTGAAGCTTTTTTATTTTGATTTGGAGCACATGTATTTCACTATTTATAGTTTAATCCTATTTTTTATATGTTACGTATTTTTATAAATATTTGACATTGGTCACTATATGTTTAATTATTTTATTATAATCACTGACCGTATTTTATATTTTATATTTAAATTTGGTCTTAAAATTTATTATTCTTTTGTTTTAATCACCTAATTATTTAATTTGTCAATATTCATGTTTTAAATTAGTATTTAAGTTATGTTAATATATATATTAATAATATATATATATATATATATAACATTAATTTAAATTTATTTGATTTCATTCTAAACATATAGAATATTTCAATTGTATTTATTCAATAAGTTTATATATTATAAAAAACTTTAATATTATTTAATTTATTATATAGATCATTTTATTTGTTGATTATATTTTCAAAATCTTATTTATTTATACATATATATCTTACTATTTTAACTTTTAGCAAATACTATTTTAATTGGTTTTAACATCCTTGTTAACATTAAATATTAAATATATAATGGAATACAATAATCAAATTCAAAACGACGTGAGATTCCATTGTACTTATTTTAAAAACCTTTTGCAAGTGGAGCTCCAATTATATATTGCTTAAAATTATGTTGTTCTCACATTAAAAATTATATTAATTATTTTCAAATATTAACTTTTCTTACCTATTATTTTATTTCATTTTTAAGAATTAAAATAGAGAAAATAACCTCAGTGACCAAAAAATGCCTTATAATATACGATTTTAACCAACTTTTTTTGGATTTGCCAAAATGACCAACTAAATCGCAATGCGATCGATAATTCGCAACGCGATCTTCGGTATCGCAAATTAGTTTCCAGATTCGCAACGCGATTCTGACTATCGCATTGCGATTTCCCAAATTCACGTTGCGATTTTCCTAATTCGCAATGCGAATACGTAAATCGCAACGCGAATTTGGAAAATCGCAATGTGATTACGTAAATCGCAATGCGATTACGTAAATCGCAACGAGATTCTGACTATCGCAATACTGAATTTCAAATTCGCAACTCGATTTCTGAATTCGCAACAGGTTTTAGTTTCGCAACACAAATGTTTTGGGTATATAACTACGCAGCAGCAACAACTCATAACCTAATTCCCTAAATCGCAACTCATTCCATCTCCATCTATCACTCTCTCCGGCGACATCCGTTCCTATATCCAACGACATCCTTCCCCATCCGGCAACAGGTTTTAGTTTCGCAGCTCGTTTGTTTAGTAAATTAATTTACAATAATGAAATCATCTAATGTTGATCATGTTTGGATAGATTTGTGTTTTGGAGGGTCATGGGAGAATGTTCATGGTGTTTTACAATATATGCCTTTACCCATGAATCTTCAACTAAAACTGTCATTAAAAAAGTTAACTTATGAAACTCTAATGTTACGTGTTACAAATAAATTGAATTTAGAGCCCCTAAGTGGATTTAGGCTATCTTATCAGATAAATGGTAAAGTTTATTTGTTAACCGACAATGAAGATGTTGAACAATTCATTGCTTACATTAGTGTTTCAAGTGATGATGTTACATTGTATGTTGTTGAACCTAGAAGTAGTGAAGTTGGGTCAGTAGCGAGTAGTAATCAACTAAGTTTTTCAACCCCAGTTTATGGTGCTCAAAATTTAATGGTTCCACCACAATTTCATCACCAAGCAAATTTTGTTTCACCACATTTCCAATACCAAACATAATCTCAAAACCCACAACCTTTCCCTAATCCAAATCCCAATCAACTTTCAGCACCAAATTCCAGTTTTCGTATTGACCAGTTAGACGATGATGAGCCAACCGAAAAAATTGTGAGTACTAGTTAGTATTCGAAATTTAATCTTGGTCAATACCCAGACTTTGATCTTGGTCAATACTCGTATTTTGATGATTTTTCAGAAGAAGAAACAGACCTTGCGTGTAATGATTTTGATATTGGTCAATACCCGAATTTTGATGATGAAACAGCCGTTGCCGAGGAAGATGTTGTTGATGATAATGAGGAGGAAGTTACGACTGTAAATGAACATATTGAACATCCATTCTGTAATTCATATAACACTGAAGAAGAAAAAGAAGAAGAAGAAATCCCCAAAGAAAAGTCCCCGAAGAAAATGCCACGGGAGTATAACTGGAATATGCCAGAATTACTTCAGATACCGGAAGAAGAGTTGGTAAAGATAGCAGTTGATTGTTACACAAAAATTATTCGTATCAAGAAAGATTATTGTTTTGATACAAAGGAAGACTTGAAGATAGCTTTGTATACGAAATGTGTGGAAGATGGCTATCATCTAAAAGTTAACAAATCAAGCAGAGATCGTTTCGAAACAAGGTGTATGATTGACAAAAACTGTACGTGGCGTATGATTGCAAAGAGGATAAAAGATTGCGAAATGTTTCAAGTTAGGACTTTTATTGATAAACATACATGTTCAAGAACCCAAGTTTTTCCTCACCATAGACAGGCAAACAAAAAGGTGTTGGGTGGTTTTCTAGCTGAGTTAATATTTTTGAATGGCAGGGTATATCGGGGACATGAAATTATGACTGACATGAATGCTCAGTTCAAGATTAGTATCTCATATTCTCAAGCTTGGAGAGCCAAATGTTATGCCTTGGAATTGTTGAGGGGGTCGCCAGAAGCATCGTTTGCCCAACTGCCGGCTTATTGTCACAATTTAAAGTTGAAAAATTCTGGGTCGGTAACTCATATCAAAACAGATAAAGATGGACTCTTTGAGTTGTTGTTTATCGCCATTGGTGCTGCGGTTAGTAAATCAATATAATTTTGTTGACTCATTTTTGTTAGTTACATGCATTTCACATTTAAATGATTATATTTCTTGTGTATATGATTTTGTAGATTCGTTCGTTTATTAATTGCATGCGCCCAGTTATTATAGTTGACAGAGCACATTTAAAAGGTCGATACCTTGGAGTAAACTTATTAGCAGTAGCCATGGATGCTAACAATGGGATACTGCCAATAGCTTACGGGGTTGGCAAATCTGAAACCTCTGATTCATGGACATGGTTTATGGGGCATCTTAGGGATTGCATAGGTCCTATTAGCAATCTGACAATCATATCCGATAGGGCAAACTCAATTTACAACGCTGTTAGAAGGTGTTTCCCAGATGCTTTTCATGGACTTTGTGGTGTTCATTTGTATAGAAATCTAAAATCAAGGTCTGCTGGTATAAAAAATCACAAATTGACATACTGGAAGGCTGTAAAAGCTTATCGGGAAGTGAATTTTAATAAGCATATAAACTGTTTAAGACGTGTTTTGCTTCAGTGTGCTCAAACACTAGAAGATGTCGGGTTTGAAAGATGGTCAAGAGTACATCAACTTGGAGCAAGATATGATTTCATGACGTCTAATAGTGCAGAATCAATCAACGCTCTAAGTCGTCATTCCCGGAAATTACCCATTACTATGTTAATGGAGTTTTTTCGAGCCTCTATTCAACAGTGGTACTACAAGAAAAGAAACCATGCAGGTATTATTTCTTTAAATTCGT